AAATTTCAAAATTTAATTTTTCTCTATAGCTGAATGAATTTCCATCATACATATGTATCACATTTTCATCACCCATTCATCAATTGGCAAACATCTAGGCTGCTCCATTTTCTGGCCTTGGGTGAGCTAGCTGAGGCAGTGCTGGAGAGCTCATCTGGGTAGTAATGACGAGGGAAGTCTAGCAAGCTGACCAACCCTGCTACCACCCAGGCTCAGAACTAGGGCTGTGAGTTAGCTCACCCCAGCACTCACTGAATCTATCAACTGTTGGAGCATTTGAAAGGGACAAACCTACAAATACCAAACAGCAGGATCTCCATGACACAGGACAACAGGATATCCAAGAGGAGCCCCATCATGATGATGCCAGCAAAATCAGAGGGTTGAGAAGGCAATGAGAAAACACCATGAAAAGAATCCCCCTGGGGAAAAAAAATTAAAAAAAAAAAAAAGAATCTCCCTGGGAGCCAGGCTCATACAGGCTTTCTGTTGAACCCTTCTTTTCTTTCAGGATGAACTTGATGTTATTAAATTGGTATTTAGCTATTCCCTGAGACCTGAAGAAACAAAGCTGGTCAACTCACTAGGCATCTGAGTCATCCTGCCGTCTGGGGAGCTCCAAATGGAACACAGAGAAAAGCCAGTACTCTGGAGGAATTACCGTGCTTAGCTGCTGGGCAGAGGCCAAGGGACCCTGGGTATCCAGGGAAAAGGCAGGTGGAAGGAGTACTGGGGAGGAGGGATCCCAGTGGGAGGTCTTTGACAAGGACAATTCTCATCTTGACTCCATTGTTTCCTTTGGTCTCCTGTGGTGCTCACCGCTTCTGGGAAGGGTCCAGAATAAATCTTATTTCTTTTCGGTGAAAAAATGTGTATCATCACACATAGATAATTAGAGAAAGGTAAACAAACAAAAGGCAGGCACGAAAGCAACTGAAACAGGAAGTTGGGCTGACGCAGTCTCTAGGGCAAGGCCACCCTAGAAAGGAGGAACCAAGTCCTCTGCCAAAGTGTAGAGGTTGGCCAGGTTTGCAAGGTGCCGCTAACACCAAGGGCTTCTGCAGCAAGCGACGGGAGAGTGGAGGAAAAGGGAGCGTGAACAGGAATTGAAAACTACTTGTATTTAGCAGAAAGAAGGGAGAGGTCCAGCTCTGGGATAATGGACCGATAGTTTCAGGACAAGGAGGAGCGATGTGAAAAGATCTAACTGTCTAGGCCGAGAGGCAGGGTGTCTGATGTGGGGGAGCAGCCGTGAGGCAGGCACACAGGGTTAACACTGGCAGCTAGGCTACATTCAGATGAGAATCGCAGTTCACTTTCACCCTCGGTGAAATTTAAAATCTAAAACTCAACGAGTTACTGATGTGAAAAGGAGCCACAGGGTGGCAACCGATCTTGGATGGAGCCCATTGTTGATCTTCACGAAAAAAAAAAAAACCTTCATAAATGAGATAAAAATTTTGAAGAAAAATGACCAAAACAAATGTTTGTAAAACATGCAACCCTCTGTGAGTCCTGACTAATAGGAAAGTAAGTAACGTTAGAAGGTCACAGACAGTGTGATGAGGTGAGGTTGTCAGGGCTGGAGAGAGAAGAACGGTAGGGCATAAGTACATAAAGCCCTCGGCAAAAGGCCGGTTTCTGTCAGGCAGCCAAGAGAGGAAGGTCAAAGACGAATGGAGCAGTGGGAATTCTGGATCTTTGGGCTTTTCCTCAGATCTCTAGGCTGTGACGCTGAGCCCTGCCTCTGTGGCACTCAGGGCTGATACAGCAGCTAGCGTATCCTAAGCTGTTTTCACTTTTCAAGACTGTGTCCACCTGTCCTCACCTGTTCCTTGCTGAGGAAAAAAAGGTTCCTGTGCTCCATCATGGGGAGCTTATCATGACCTCAGTCTCTGTCATTAGACAACATTTCCCCCTTTGTGGTTAGTTTGTTTCAAAGTTTCATAATTTGAACTGAGATTTCACACATTTGGTTTTGCAGATAATTCCTGAAAACTCTGCTCAAGGTGGCTGCAGACACCTGGATGTCATGTCAATTAGTGCTTAGCTGTCCGGGACTGACAGTGAAATGGCAGGTGTATGTCCTACAGTTAGCATGAGAACAGGTGAGTACTCTCCTAGTCGTTAGATAACAGAGAAGATGTCTAATGTAGCAATGGGATTTGGAGAGATGCCCATAGGTCTCAGCTATACAGTTACCCAGGGAGGTAATAGACACACAGACACACAGACACACAGACACACAGAAGAGAAGCTGAGGAGGGGATGAGAGTCAAGACATTATCCAAGGGTAAGAACATGTCAGCTTAGCCTGGAAGCCCATTACTGACTAGAGGTCATAGGATTTAGTGGAATGTCAGCCTGCTCTCAAAGCTTGTCAAATAACTCTTCATTTGAAGATTGTTGGAAACTTGAGGAATTAGTTCCTTGGGTGTATTTGTCTATTATTAAGTGAACACAGGCATGTAATTGATGTGGTAATCTACTAGGTTGAGCCTAAGCTACCTGTCCATTTCCCCTGGATGCAGAATGCTCTTGAGAGCAACAGGATAAATTGTGGAAGCACCACTTTGCCTGCCACACCCACTCCAAACATCCTTTCATCCCCGGAAGGACTTTTAGACCGCAGCAGCACCCAGTAACAGTTCTTAGACTTTGTTATCAGAAAAGAGTTGTTAGTAGATGGACAAGTACTCTTTCCACTAAGGCGACAATGAAATGATTAAACAGACCCCACCCCTGAAAAACAACAACAACAACAAAAAAAACCAGAGCAAATTTCAGGTCATTAGAAGCTCGCTGCTCACTGTGCGCATCTCGGGGGGGGGGGGGGGGGTATCTCGTACTGGCAGATCACCGGGTGATAGGAGGAAAGTGTCAGGCAATGCATGCTTTTTTAAAAAAATTGGTCTCTGAGTTATAATTACCCATTTGAGTATGTGATTTAGAGCAATTTCTTGGATTAACCCATGAAAACAGTCTTTTCAAAATTAGTTACTTTATTGAGCACACTGAGTACCAAGCACCCTGCTGTACACCAAGCATCTTCCGATACAGGGGCATGTGCAGTAAGGTCAGTGAAGGGCAAGGAGGAAACCTCAGGAATACTTGTTTTGCTGATTGAGTTTTGGTTGTTATTTTGCCTTGAATTTAGTCAAACTCATTTAAGCATGTTAGCTAGAGTAATCTGGACATACTAGATTAGGCAGGATAAGCAAAGCCGATTTCTACTTCTATACTTTACAGAATATATTGTTCAAATCAGCATAGTAAGCTCTTTGTTTAGCTTTTCATTTAAGTTCAAAATAGCTCTTTGATACAGGAACGGCAATTTTCTTTCCTACTAGTGTGAAAGTTAGGGTTGGAAGGTGTACAGGATGTGATCAAGGAAAAAGGGCTAGCAAGCGACAAACTGGGGTTTTCATTCTGTGCCTTATGATTTTAGAGCCACTGCTGTTTGCCACTGTTTTTCTGTCTCTAAACGACATAACTCTAATGACACATTTTGCATGAGACAACAGAAAGGATTTCAGGTTGTGCTTCTGGAAGATCCACCAGCATTTCCAGGTCTGAGAGAAATCACCAAACCAAAGGGGGCTTGTGTGATGTGTTCTCAGAGTATTCTGGGGCTGTACACACATTCAAATGCTGTGTAAAACTACAGGAAATGAGAAATTAAAGGGGAGGGAAGCAAAGGCTTACAGCACAGAACACTGGGGAAGTCACTGCATAACCAGTGACCCAGAAATACCTGAATGAGGGCAAAGCAAGCCCTGCCAAGGTTGGCACGCGGCTCCCAGACTGGCAGAGGAGAACTGTCAAGGCAAATCTGTAAGACTCTCTAGGGTGAGTGTCCATAGCTGTTCTCTTGACTTCAGTGCTGTGTTAAATCTACTGCTAGGAGTCAGTGCTGGGAAGATCTAGTTGGGAACCCAAAACTGACTATATGGTGTTGCATGATGTTGGATGAAGTATTTTCTCATTTAAGTACTTAAGTCAATTGTTTTACATGAATCCCTGCTGTATATTATCAATGTAAAAATTCTCTCGTTATAAATAATGTTTCTTCTCTTAGTATGACATATGTTTTGTTTAAAACATGCTTCACTTTCACAAGGATAAAGTTTCCTTGGTCTCTGGAGTACCTTGGTAGATATCATGAGAAGGGGTAAACCATATTGAAGAAGCAGAAAAGCTATGGGAAGGTTCATCTTGATGTGCATCTGGAGGGTTAATGTGCAATTATTTAGTGTAGTAATTGAAACTACAAGGAAATTGAGCACCAAAGTGAGAAATTAAAAGTGTTTAAAAACCATTTACTTATATGGAAAGCAATTATGTCATTTTCTAAAGGCCTTATTTCCTGAACCTACACTTTCTATATATTGCATTTCTGATCAACAAGAACGTTTTTTAATTTCTCTAGGTACGATCTTAAGCAGCTATAATATGATGTTTGATCTCAATAAGTTTGTATAATTTAGCAATCATGAGAAAAAAGGCAAATTCTTTGATTATTCATTATGTTGAAGTAGCTGTCTATAAGGAATATATGAAATGTATCTCCTAGTTTTGTTCTACAGGCTAGGGTTACACAAAGTTACAAATAAATGATACATACTTGACTGTATATCATCAACCATAGAATCATCAATTTGAAATCATTAAGGATCAACATGAAAGATTCCATGAACACCTGAGATAAAAATAAACATGCAATACCTACATGGAAATAGGTATGGAGAGAGAGAGAGAGAGAGAGAGAGAGAGAGAGAGAGAGAACACCGCCTGTAGAAAAACTAAGAATTGATCCTTGAGATGTGAATAGAAATTGGCTAAGTGCAAAATTTTTATAGGATGAAAGGTTACTTTTAAAATATGTTAATTATTTTAGGTTATGCAAATACCACCAAGAAGAAAATACCCCAACAGTTTTTGACCATCACACAGAAGAATCAACTTTGTAAGACAATTACCTCTCTCATAGTACCTTATAAATGAACAGGAAAGCAGTCTGACCAGTGATGCTGGCTACATCCTACAATCACACAATGGAGTCCCCTGCCACCTTCTTCCTCGTTGGCGTTCCAGGCTTGCAGTCTTCCTATCTTTGGCTGGCCATCTCATTGAGCTCCATGTACAGCATAGCACTCCTAGGAAACACCCTTATCATCACTGTGATCTGCATGGACTCCACTCTCCAAGAGCCCATGTGCTTCTTTCTCTGTGTTCTGGCTGCTGTGGACATTGTTATGGCTTCCTCTGTGGTACCTAAGATGCTGAGCATCTTCAGCTCAGGAGGCGGCTCCATCAGCTTTAATGCCTGTTTCACTCAGATGTACTTTGTCCATGCAGCCACAGCTGTAGAGACAGGGCTGCTACTGGCCATGGCTTTTGATCGCTATGTGGCCATCTGCAAGCCCCTACATTATATGAGAATCCTCACTCCTAACGTGATGCTGGGGATTAGTGTGACCATCACCACTAGAGCTGTGATTTTTATGACTCCGTTGAGTTGGATGTTGAGTCATTTGCCTTTCTGTGGCTCCAGTGTAGTTCCACATTCCTACTGTGAACACATGGCTGTGGCCAAGTTAGCGTGTGCTGATCCCATGCCTACCAGTCTCTACAGTTTGGTTTTTTCCTCCATCATTGTGGGCTCAGATGTGGCCTTCATTTCTGCCTCCTATACTTTGATCCTCAGGGCAGTGTTTGGTTTGTCATCAAAGCAAGCACAGCGGAAGGCGCTGAGTACGTGCGGCTCTCATGTTGCGGTTATGGCTCTGTACTATCTCCCTGGGATGGCGTCCATCTATGTAGCCTGGCTAGGGCAGGACAAAGTTCCGCTGCACACCCAAGTGTTGCTGGCTGACTTGTACCTGATCATTCCGCCCACCCTGAACCCTGTCATTTATGGTATCAGGACCAAGCAGATCCGGGAGCGGATATGGAGTCTGCTGATGCAGGGCTTCTCTCACCAGGGTACTCACGGTTCGTGAGCACACAGCTTCCCATACCTTAAGTTCCAGCCAACGGCCGTGAAAACTCTGAGATCTATGGACAAGGACTGGCTTACTTCAGCTTCTCACTAGAGTTTGACAGAAGTGATTGTATTTCCTGGTGTCTTTATTTAGCATGCTACTATATTGAAATTTGGGCAGAGCATGAGTTTGTTATTTTGTTTCTTTATTTTGTTTTTTTTTTTAAAAAAAGATCTCTATTCCTATCTAAAATCATTCCCTCTGTTGATGAAAGTTAGTTTGTCCCTTTTTCCCTTGCTAGAACTTTCTTGTTCCTCCCCCAGTGTTATGCTGTGCTACAAACTACCTCTTCCTCTCTGGCTAACCAGTGAATCCATTTTATTTGATGCCCGTGTTTATTCTTGGAGCACAAACCTCCTTCACCTAAAATAGATTTTAGTTTATCTTATGTAAACTTAAGGTCAATGGTGTTGGCCCCTTTCTAATGAATGAACTGGAAAAAGAAACACAGTAATAAAAAAACCAATCCTGAATCTGGGAGGAAATTCCCTTCTGATAGCCACACAGTTTCATAGGGCAGAGACACATATATTTGATTCTTAATGAAATTGAAAATCTTAATAAGACTAATTATCTGTTACTAAAATCCAAAGTGCTAGGAAAAACTGCAGTAGCAGGTTGGTTAATTGTTCCCTTGATTAGAATGAACTGTCTTCCACCTCTTCTAATTAGTTTTAAGTCTATTGGAAATATAATCAGTATAGTACTGACGTAAAGATGGAAAAATAATTAATAGGGAGCTCAGACCTGAACTCAGAGGTATATTTGGTTAACAGATCTGACATTGCTCATGGTGTTATCACTACTGGACTTTCAAATGCAAAACTATTAGAGGAGACCTTACACCGTATGCAAAAATTAACAGAAAAAATATGAAGAACTAATTGGAAGACTGAAAATCATAAAACTAGAGAAAACATTTAACATTGCAAAAATTTCTTGGATATGATATCCAAAGTGTAGTCAGCAAAAGCGAAAAATAGATGCAGCTACAAGGAGCAGAACTAATCTTGTGTAACAAAAGATAAAACAGAGTGCAGAGACGCCATGCGGGATGGAAGAAGGTATATTTGGAACTGGGTATTTAATAAGAATTATTTACTTAGTAAATGATTAAATTATATAATTCAACAACAACAAATCAGGTACTCAAACTGCAATCGATAATGTTCTTTTGGTTCCTGCCCTAGCCACGCCCACTCCTTTTAACTCCTGACCTCCGCCCCGCCATCGCTCTCTTCCTGCTTTTCCTCTCACAAGGGGCTTTGTCTCTCTCCTCCTCTCTCTCTCTCCCCTTCTCTCTCTCTCTCTCTCTCTCTCTCTCCCCTTTTCTCTCTCTCTCTTTCTCTCCTCTCTCTTCCTTCCTTTCTTTCTCCTCTCTCTCCTCTCTCTCTCTCTCTCTCTCTCTCTCTCTCTCTCTCTCTCTCTTTCTCTCTCCCCCTCTTTAATAAACATTTATGGCTATTTTTGTGTTTATATGTCTGACCCACCGCGTGAGAAGCTGTAGCCGCCTGCTCGGGTGCCGGACCCTAGAGCCGGCGCCCGGCACTGCTGGGACCCGCCAGAGTTTGCTGCGGGGCGTGGGACCCCAAGGGATATTTTTTAAGAACAAGATTGGTGCCGTGACTCGGGGAGGAGAGAGGCAAAGCCCCATGTGAGAGGAAAAGCAGGAAGAGAGCGATGGCGGGGCGGAGGTCAGGAGTTAAAAGGAGTAGGCGTGGCTAGGGCAGGGACCAAAAGAACAGCAGATATTTCTGTAAAGGACATGTACAAGTGACCAGCTAACATATGCAAAGATGCTCTTTGTCACTAATAATTACAGGGATTAAAAATAAAACTACAGTGAGATAATCCATTTGACCCTAGGCGTGATCACAGAAACTCAAACTAGACCACCCCCTGCCATGTAAAAACCAACTCTGGGTGAAAGTGCAAACAAACTGAAATCGCTTTGTACCGTTAGTGGAGACTGGAACAGTAACACTATGTTAGTGGGATGGGTAATCTATGAAATATGAAAAGCAGGGATAACCTGATGATGCAGCAATCCCACTAGGTAATTCATAAACAATGGAATCGGGTCTCCAAGCTTAGTTCTTGGCCCTCACGTTCATGGCATCACACAGATGTGCAAACCGTATGAGACCAGTGAAGCATGTTCTGATTTAGAATCTGCAACTTCATCCTTGGTCTTAGAAGCTTTGCACATTTTTCTGTATCTCAAGTTCAGAGATGAAATGTCGGTATAATGACAGCAGGTCCTTCAGAGGACTGAGAAACCAAATGTGGAAATCTTAAGAAAACACCCACTAGAGCAGTGTTTCTCAATCTCTCAGTCACATCCTCTATGGGGTTCAATGACCCATTTACAGGGGTCACCTAAGACCATTGGAAATATGAGCTATTTATACTATGTTTCATAAAAGTAACAAAATTATAATTATGAAGTAGCAATAAAAATGATGTTATATTTGGGGGTCATCACAACATGGGGAACTGTATCAAAGGATTGCAGCATTAGGAAGATTGAGAACCACTGCCTTAGAGGTTCTGGAGTATTGAAGAATTAAAAAAGTAACCAGGGCTAGTATAACACCAGGGCTGGTACAATGGCTCAGTGGGTACAGGCATTGCTGCCACCTGACAACCTGAGTTCAGTTCCCAGGAGCTACATGACGGAAGAAGAGGAATGACTACTTCGAGCTGCTATCTGACCTTCCTATGTATACCGTGGTATGGGCATCCCCACATACATATGCACAATAAATAAATAGATAAGTCAACAAATACATGAATGAAAAAAATGTACTAAGAGAAAAAAATTAAACTTGGACCATTTGATTTTTTTTAGATGTATACTGCATCATTAGTCAAATGTTTAAGTATCCTCTGGAGATGAGAAGACACAAACACTTTGCTCTCCAGGCTCCTGACTCCTCTCAGTCTGAAATGCCCAAGAGACTGCAGAGAAGAGAGGCAGTCTCTGGAGGAGTCACAGTGTTTGGCTGCTGGGCAGAGGCCAAGAGCAGTGGTGTTCTGGGAAGACAGACGCCAGAGTATCTCATGGGAAAGGGAGTCTACCAGTGGGAGGTGTTTGGAAAGGACCACACTCAAAGTAACCCCATTGTCTTTGATCTCCTGTGGTTCCTGTGATGTTACTGCTTCTCGTGAATCTACATATTATTTGGTGTGAGACATGTGTAATAGGAGGCATTCTTAACCAGAGAATGAACTCTACAAGAGGAAATCTATTATGTGATAACTGAATTAGGAAAGCATTTGAATTTAAAAAGTCTCGAGGTTAGGGTTACGTCAGAACTGAGGATTCTAGTTCCCTATCCAAGTATATAAGTATAATGTGGCCGGCCAGGTCTGGAGGCATTATGGACACCTGCACTTCCTCTGGAAAGGATGCGAGGGATGGCAGATGTATATTATACACCTATATAATAGGTATATAGGGTTACTTGTGTCCAAAGCAGAGAAATGAAAAGGTAAGTACAACCCTGGACTGGTAAATATGTATTTTTAGGGGCCAAGACTTGCTTTGAGAAAACAGATGCCCTAGGGCAGAGTGAGATTGTTTTTGGGTGTCGACGGAGGCACATGAGGTTGTCACAGGCTGCAATGCTGTATTCAAGTGAATATGCATGCAGTACTGCTTTCATCCGGACAGCATGTTAATTCTGCATCCCTCCATCCTTTTATTTGGAATAAAATATCCTTTCACATCCTATGATTTACTTATTGATGTTAAATGACTTGCCTAGGTCACTTTTCAGGGATGAACCCTGAAGACACATGCACCTTCAGGGATTAAGGGCCAGTGTGAGGCTGGAAAGGTGTCTCAGGAGATTTGGGCATAGGCTTTTTGAAAGAATTCACCCCAACAAGCAGCATGTTTCCGTGTGTTGAGAGTGTAATCTCTACATCTTAGATTTCTGTATCTTATAGCATGTGTTTTGAGTGGCCCAACAAGCTAATCATAAAATAAGCATACAGGAAATGATGCTTAAGAAGTTACTGTATTCACAACAGATCTTTAATGGAAGTCATTATTGATATTCTCAAGAAAATATTCAAATATTTTAAAGAGTAAGCAATTAAAACAAATGCTCTTTATTTTGAAAAGACTAAACACACACACACACACACACACACACACACACACAACACCAACTAAGAAGAAAAGCAAATAAAACCAAGTAAAAAAATGTTTAAAAGAAATGAGGACTATCACTAACTCCAAACCACTGAGAGATCTGGGAAGAGATGAGGTTCCCAGTGCTGCAGACAGGAAGGTGGAGCAGGGCATAAGGACACCCACAGGTGAAAGGTGAGTTTATAGAGAGCAGCTTCTGGGTCAGAGGAGAATGGGTGTGGGCATTCTGGATCCTTCAGTTTTCTTCAAATCCATAGGCACCAAAGCTCAGCCCCAAATCTGTAGCATCCGAAACACAGACTGCGGCTACAGGGATACCCAGGCTTCATTTTCACGATTCTTCTCAATTCCACTGTGAAGTCCTCAGTGTGATCTCATCTGTCAGCGATGGATTTTATTTGACCGTGACATGGAACTTGTTCTGTAGTTCAGCCAGTCTCAGTATACAGCATTTACTATTCTGAAGGTTTGTCTTTCATTTTTTTTTCTCAAAAAGACCATATGTGAATATCTAGTCCTAGAAAATTGGGTCTTTAGAAAACTCTGGAAGATTCTGCACCAGTGTGGGGTCAGTCATCCCTCCAGGAGTCAAGTGGACACCATGTGGTGAGGCTGGAGACCCAGCTTATCTTACGTTTGGGTAACACAGAAGATGTCTTTTCCTGCACATGGGACCCTAACACCGACTTTCACCTTTCTGATCTACTCAACCATTCAGGAGATTTGAGAGCTAAGAAGAGTCAGGACTCAATGATAAGGACGAGACAACCTCTTAGGCTGCAAAACCTTTATTAAT